GTATTAAAGTTACAATGAATGAATTTAATAAGAAACAAAGTATGCAGAAGTTGTTCGATCACAAACATACAAACACAAATAATAACAGTGATTTCACGTCATTAAAGTGTGAATGAATAATAAACTCACGTCCACATGCAGCCACAGGTTGTGCTTCTCACATATGTCGGCGATCTCATCGATGGGGTCAAACGCCCCAAACACAGTTGTTCCAGCCGTTGCGTTAACGAAGAACGGAACCGCGCCCTAAACAAACAAACAAACAAACAAACAAACAAACAAACAAACAAACAAACAAACAAACAAACAAACAAACAAACAAAGACTGAATCCTGCAGCTTGGACTTAATCAGTGCTTAAAACAGAGCTGCTCTCTCACCTCACTTTTTGCCAGCTCTATTTTCTCCTCCAGAGCAGAAGGAATCATCTTTCCCCTGAAAACACAAGACAATCGATGTTGTAAAAACACAGGGATGTAGTTTAAGATTAAAATYAAAGTTTATTAAAGTAAATTCTGCAATAGTTTTAAAATTGGAGGGAAAGTTGCATAAACAAAAACACATTTTACAGCAGTCAGACTAAAAAATTGGAAGTGCAGAGGGTGCTTCAGCACCCCCTGGTGGATACAAGAAAATTTGCATGTTTAAAATTGTTATTGTTTAAAAAAATGAAAAACAATCCCAACTTCATTACTACATTTGTTAAAATTCCAACATTATTTTGTTTTTAATGAAATTGAAAAAAATCTGATATTTGAAGCAGCTGAGTTTTATATATCTGTGAGCAACACTTTACAGCCACCTAAAACACAATCTTTTCAAGAAATGATAATATTTTGCTCATATCATCAGCTTTGTAACTCTGAAGATGCCAAAAGTTAAGGTTCTAATGTACAGATGTCCAAACAATAATCATGGGTGGAACAAAATGCTTTGTGAAAAGATACAACAGAACAACAACATTTTATTTCTGGAGTGTTTTGAGCATTGTTCTGACATTCTGAAACCACAGAAAAACAGGAGGAAAAGTTGAGGTTTTGTGAACAGATGTGTGGTAAATGGACTGTACTTATATAGCGCTTTTCTATCCATCCAGGACACTCAAAGCTCTTCACACTACAATCTGTGTCCTCATTTAGCCATTCACACAGCACTCTGTTAGGTCTCTACAAAGCTAACATGTACAATCATCTATGGAGACTAATCAGTGCCAATCACATTCATGCACTGATGGGACACATCAGAGGCATTGGGGTGAAGTGTCTTACCCAAGGACACAACTGAGACAGCTGGACGGGGGATCGAACCGGCAACCTTATGGTTCCAGGATGACGCCCCTAACCACACAGCCGCCCCKACTTGTTAAAATAACTAACAACAAATGTTTTTCTGATCAAACTTTAAGTTGTGAGTTTGATGTGATGGAAGTATGGGATGCTCTGGAGCCATAAATGGTTCAATAATGGTTTAATAAAACCATTTGATGACTGTCGACTAAATTCGTATAATCTTTTTATACATCTTTTTTTCTCCTAATCTTTAAAAACTGTTAAACATTATTAGCATCCACTCCAGTGTTGTGAAATGTTTGTAAATCTCATTATTACTATTTAAAAAAAAAAGGAATATTGCTGATTTGGTCAAATTAAATCAATTGTGTTTAAAGACGCAAACTTGACATACAGCTATAACTACACAGTTACTGTCTGTTAAAAATACATCATATTATATGCTGTGGTGGTGTTTTTATTTGTGTATTCTGGGTCATKCAAACTCTCCAACCCCTGACTGTTCACGAGATTCTGAGTGTAAGAATATTCATGTAAGACAAGTCTCCAAACTGCAAACATGGCTTTTATTTTATCCTAATTTCATACAAGAAAGAAACTAGCAAAAACAGAGGAACCAAAATACTAAATGTCAGAGTCAGTTTACCTGTCATCAGACGGCACAAGGTAAACATTCTTTGTACCAAAACCAAGCAGAGCTGCAGATTTAGATATGGAGTAATGACACTGAAAAAGAAGACAAACTCACATCAGTAACCATGTTTCTTTTTTTGGAAAATGTTAAAAGTTTTTTTAATTAGAAAGCAAATTGTTGTCACTTCATTGTAGAAATAAAAAAAAAAATCACAATTAAACCAAGAGGTAATGCTTTCATATAAGCAAGCAACAATATGTGTAAAAACAGAGCTGAACTGAACTARCACTCTGTTAATATTTCAACTATGTGAATAAAGTCAGATTTCACCATTCTGTTTCACTAATGTGTTCAAATAACTAAGTTTTAATTTGAAAATTTTACTCTATTTTTAACCAGACGTTTCTCATCATGAGCTAGGTCAGAACAATTTTCATTTTGATTTAAGTCATTCCTAAAGGTCCTGTCACACTAGACAACTTATGCTAACTTATGAACATTTTTAAAGACATCTACATTGAAGATGGAACTGAAAAAAAAATCAACAGGAAGCTTCTTTTTGACATGAACATGTGATTCAAACAAACTGGTCAAATATATAACTTTTATTAGCAATTTAGACATAAAAAGTATTCATGAGTTGGCATAAGTTGGCTAGTGTGACAGGGCCTTTATCAGAGTGAAGACATACACATGATTAAAAAAACTGCAGACATTAAAAAACATTTTAGATTTTAAGGTTAAATATGTACAAGTTCAAATATACACACACACAGTTACATAATTCTCTAAATAAATTGTGATAAAGGTTTTAAAATGTTTTTTTAAATATACTTGGCATGACCTATTGACTTCACATTAGTGATTATGATCAACTGCAGCTTGTAGTTCTCTTCCAGCATGAAACAGATGTGTTGGAACCATAGACCTGAATATAGATCACTAGACTGAGCCCCGCCCATACC